TGGGTACAAGAAGAAGAGGTGGTACAAAATTGGTTGAGGAGTTTTGTTGGAGACCGAGATCAGGTTGATGGTAGGGAAAAATAGCCTCATTAAAGATAACGTGCCTGGATATGTAAACTTTACCTGTTTTTGGATCAAGGCAGCGGTAACCTTTTTGAGCCGATGCATAACCTATGAAGACGCACGGGATGGAGAACGGCGAGAGCTTGGATGTGCTGTAGGGTCGAAGCCACGGGTAGCAGAGACACCCAAAGATCTTGAGATGATTATAGGCTGGCGGTTTTTGGTATAATATCTGATACGGACTTCGGTTCTGAAGAGCTCGAGACGGTAGTCTGTTGATCAGGCAGGGGAGGAGGAGGAAGTTGCCATTTCTATAGGATGACTTTAATTTCATAAATCTTTAAAAAAATGTAAAATATATTTTATATCTTTTTTTTTTTATTTTTAAAATATATTTTATATGTTAAAATAATAAATTTAAGTTTAAAAGAAATTATACTAAAAATATAATATGGATCACATAATATTATAATAATTATATTTTAAAAGAATTTTGAATAAGAGATTCAGAGATTAAAAAGATTAGAGATCAATTGTTAAACAACTCAAGTATTAGCATTTACCAAAAGTAATGGAGTTTTCCCACCAAAGGAACCAAAACCAGAAAAACAAAAAGGAACAAAAATTAGAAATGAAAGGGATAAGAAGCACATATATTCTCCATATAGACTCCTTTTGGATAACAAGCACTTTTCAGCAAGCACATGATCTTCTCCCAAAGGAAGCCTTAGACTTCCTTTGGGTCAGTTTTTGGTCATTACATTTTTGCTACTTTCAAAAAAATATATAGTAAAAAATTATTGTAAAAAATAATAAGATAACTATCTCAAACAGAGCCTTAACTTTCATGCAAATGATTCCTCTGCATTTTTCATATTCTTCTCAACTTCCGCTATGGTTTGCCTATGAATGATCAAAGAAATTCAAGCTTAATACAAATAGTCCTTTTCTTTTCATCTTTTACATACATAATTATATAAATTTGGGAGGCAAAGAGCCTCTTCTCATAGCCAAATACATAATATGATGCTTTTCTAATGGTAGTAAGATGCTTTTATGGTAATAAAATAAAAGAGTTGATTAACCTCTTCATATTGCAGAATTTTTTGAGAATGCATTTAATAATGAAATTGATAAAATTGAAATTATGGAGGCATTGAACCTATTCTCGTAGCTGAATTTTTTTATAATGCATTTAACACTATGATGTTGGCTATAATATAATATGGGTAGAATAACAAGCCAGTTTTATAATAATAATAATAGTAGCATTATATGTGTGTGTATATAAAGGTGGATTGATCCTATAATGCTTGTAATCATAGTTAAATCAATAAAAGGGCAATGCTATTGAGAAAGAAGCGTTATGGGACTCCTAAACATTCAAATACAAGTCACAAAACAAAAAAAAATTGTATAACAACACTTTCGATATATACTTAGATTTCATTTGATACAATTTTTTACTATTTTCTAAAGCACCTTTTCAGCATAAAAATTTCATGAATTAAAATTTTTTGTACTAAAAAGTTTCTTTAGAAAGCATTAAGAAAACTATCTCAAATAAAGCCTTATGTGGACTAGAAGAGCACCCCAGAACTCTCTCACTCGCTCTGTTAGGTCTTTGCCCTAACCGCCTCTCATCTGTGTGGATATCCTCTATGCCTGGATTCAGATCAAGAAAGTTTCTTCCCTTCCTTTCTAACATTTTCGTCTATTTGCATTAATATGTTGGGAGTTTGTCTATACCCCACTTTTCCATTTTACGAGTTCCATGTTTTCTTGTAGTTGTTTCGCCGGAGATTTTCCACCTTTGGCCATCTTTACAGCTGGATGGTGGTTAATCACTTGTTAGACCTTGGTTTCTTGTATGGGCAAAAAAATCTTGCTCGTTCATAGATGCCTTATGGGGGCTTCCCCATCGATGTTTCTTGACCTCAAACCCTTTACCCACCGTGGATACCATCTTTGTGGATTTTAGAAGAGGAAAACCTTGATCTTCCTGCATCTTTCGAGTATGCTTTGGTCAGTAAATTACCCAATTGAAGACCCTCAGTTGACTCCATCTATAAGTTAATTTATCTTTAACCTCAAGCTTGTTGATGATTGCCATTAATTTTTTTGGTGACTGTTTTGGACCCAAGGTATGTGCTCATTAAATTGGTTAATGATATAGATTATAGTAGAGTCTTCTTTCATCGATATTACTTTGTTTGTAATTGCTTCATGAAGTTATTCAAGTGGTAGCCATTTTTTGACATTACGGTGGTTATACGGATTTAGGTATTGCTTCATATTCTACATCTCGACCTCTTCTCCCCCCACATTCAATATGACCTGGTTTATTTATTCGATCAAACATTAAAAATGGATAATTTAACCTTGGTTAGATCACGACTATTTGTTTCTCTTGTGTTGGTTGAACTGGATATTTCCAAACATTACCCCGATTATATGTGGATTTGTCATGATAATTCAGGATATATTAAACATGTTGAAATCGAGGAATTTCTCCCCTTCTGTGATGACCATTGCAAATCCATGTGCCATCATAAGCTCAATTGTTGTATCCTTCACCCCCAGTTAGAGTTGGTGCCTGGGACATTCATAAGCCTGCTGAAGTTGTTAATGAAACAAATATTTTAGCTTCTATGGGTAATTCTAATGATGTTGCTAAAAAAAATATGGAATTACATAATTTAAACGTTACTAAAGTTTTCACTACCATGGCTATATGGGATGAGGATAATTTGCTTAATGCAGTTACTATTGAGGTTATTAAATTATTCGAACAGGAGCCTCTGGTCTTTTATGTTTCTACAATGATGCCAATTTATGTTCCTATTTTAGCACCTTATGTTGACATTTCTATTTCTATTCGGGATGATGTTAATACGGTAAATATGGCTGCTAATATGGTCATAAAATTACTTGAACATGAGCATCCGGGTTCCTCTATTCCCGTGATGGTGCTGGGATGCATGGATGTTTTAATAAAATTCATATTATAGATATTCCTCTTTATCTTAATTTGGATGAAGCTCTGTTAAATTTGGGTTTGATGAATCAACAATTGGAAAAGCATTCTATTAAGGATTTGGTTGATCACTCTGACTATTTATCTAACTTTGATTCCTTGACTAAATAGAATGTGGAGAGGGGAATGTTACTTTTGGCAAAGGTTCTCAAGAGGTTTGTGACTTGTTCGTGGTGCAAGTTGATAATGAAGGCTTTTTCCAATGTGATTGGAAATAAAGTTAAAAGAAAAAAGAATAAAAAGAAAATATTATTTTCTATCAATTACTCTGTGTGTCTGCCCTCTTAATCATGCTTATTTAGTTGGTTAAGGTTTGGGTTCCCTGGTGTTGATTTCTCTTTTGGTTTGGTTGGGGGCATGAGTGTTTTTTAAGGCTGCTTTTTTGGGCCAACCTCGATTGGTATGTTCGAGCGCAGTCCTTTTTCCTTTTCCTTAGTTGTTGAGTTTTTCCTGCAAGTGGTGCTTTTTGTTTGTTTCTTTGTTTTTGGATGGTCATGTTTCCCCTTCTAACTTGTTCGTGGTTATGATGTTACTTTCATGGATCTCTTTTACTACCTCTTGGTGTGGGCGATTTTCCTGCTATTTGCTTTGGTTTCTTTTCCTTTTCCTTTATCGTATGCTAGTCAGGTTCTTGGGCTTTATAGGGTTTCTTTTTCTCTTCCATTGTAGCTCTTTGGAGCATTAGTTCGCTAAAGAACCTTTAAGGACTTATAAACTTTTACCTAATCAACGTGTAAGCCCTTCTTATGGGTTTTAACCAAAAAAAAGGTGGATTAGAAAAGCAAGCTTCAAACACCAATAAATACTAAGGCTTCGTTTGGGGTGATTTTTTTAATGCTTTTTAAAGTATGTTTTTCGTATAAAAATTCCTATGGAAATCAATAAAAAACTCATCCCAAACGAAGCTTAAGCAACCAAATCATTCTTGAGTAGAGTAAGTTCTATCTTCAAGATATGCCACCATATAGTATGTTCTAGGAATAATTCTAGCTCTTACATTTCCTCCAAAAATATTGGGTTGTTTAGTGTGGCGTGCACACATCAATGCGATGTCATTGTAAGTTAAATTTTTTAGCTTGAAATTAAGCACCGTAGGTCTCAAAACCAAAGGTAGCAACTCATTAAAGTCTTGCTAAATACTCCTCATTCATTCTTGATCAAGCACTAACTATTTAATTTCATTAATCGCTAAAGAGGCTAGCAAATGCCTAAGAAACCATTAAAATTGTAAATTTAGTATGTAGAAATAAAAGCACCCTAGCTCGTCATAGCTATATTATAAATATCAATTTTCTATTGGTTAACACTCAATAAATTGATAACTTAATTGATGGCCTTCGGAAGAATATTTTGTATGAAAATATGTCCGAAAGTTTCATTGGTAGCAAAATACCCTTATAAGTATATTTGAAAGTTAATGATGTTATACATTTGACAATATTTTTGTCTTCAACATTATTATACATTTGCAATATGAACAAGAAAACTAAAATGACATTAAATTTTAGATTATTAGTTTCCAACATTGTTCTACACTTATTTTAATCTTGATGAAAATGCATTTGGCACATGATCAAACATTCTTCGAAGTTTATTCATAGCTTATTTGTATTTTATAAGAAGTTTTAATCATATTTTCATTTAATATAAAGCTTTTTATTAAAATTTTATCCTTTGTTGTGTTTACATTAGTGTTATAACTATTGTGAAAGTGTTATACTATTTATACTTTGTTGTTTAACAAGTTCAAAACTTGTTCTAATATTGAACATACTTAATTCTTAAATGAAATTCAAGTATTTTATAATTTTTCTTAATAATGTCTTATTCGAATCATATTTGAATAATATTTAAATCTTGATTGACAAAAATTATTATTGTTCAATTGGACTTCGAATAATGCTGATGAAATAACTTTGAATTAAAACATTAGCTAAGCCAAATACCACATTAATTTTTTTTATACAAAATTGTACTGTTTTCTTCATCTACACTCTCTGAACTCACATCGAGCACCTGCATTCGCGAACAGGCAGCAATAGGAGAAAGAAAATCCAAAGAGGGATTGCAGAGGAAAGAACGCTGTTGATCCAATTCGAAATTTTTGATAGAAACGCCCAGTTAGAAAACAATTAGGAGGTCGGGAAGAAGGATCCAATAAAGCTAATTTGATCACCACGCGTTGCCTAACCGAGCGAGCAATCAGGGCAGCGGGCGAGGCCGTTCTTGTTACAGGCATGACAGATCCGGAACCCCGTTACGAGCTTCTTCAGCTCACCGGTCTCGTGCAAGCGCCAGATCTCGTCGGCGCCGCCGATGTAGCGGCTGCCGATGAACAACTGCGGGAGTATGATCTGCTGCTGCCGCTGCTTTTCGCTCAAGATTTCCTTCAGCTCAGAGAGGAATCGCGAGTCTAAGGAGAGGTCACGTTCATCGATGGCGACGCGGAGGCAGCGGAGTATATTGCGCACGGCGCAGCAGTCCTCGAAGGTTCGGCGGACCACGCGGAGGCTTGTGTAGTATAGCAATATCCGTTTCTGGTCCTCTATGCGATCGGGCCGGGGCACCGGTGTGAAGGGGCGGAAGAATCGGAGGGCCGTGGCGGCGGAGATGGAGCGTTGCAAGACGGGAGGGTCGTCTTCGAGGAGGAGAGAGTTGATATCTTTGAAGGAGAGAGGGGAGGGGGAATAGTTGCGGGAGATCTTTCTCCATGAAAGCCCCATCGGCGACGACGAGATCGGCCAGGAGACAGAGGTCGATGGTCGAACTGAGAGCGAGGGGGCGAAGGCGTGGGAAGGCAGAAAGCTGCTTCGCGTGAGAACGGCAAGGGAGTAGTTGTTAACGAAAAGTGTTGTGGGTTGGGATAACGTAGCATTATTAATTCGAATTATTTAAATTTAACTCAATGTATTAATATATTCGGATATTTTTGAAATGAATAGGAATAATTATTTTTTGAATGGTAGATGCTTTTTTGTTGGAGTGCTGATTTAATATTTTTGGGAGGGAGGTTAACAACTATAAATAAAATAATAGTAATAAATGAATTCATTTATTATATAAAATTGGAGAACAAAACAAAATAGAGCAAATTTTTAAAATAGTTTTAATTAAAAATTTAATAATGTAATTAAGTATAGTAAAAAAATAAAAAAAAATAATGATAGTCGCCAATTTAATAGGTGAATTATTAATTAGTGAACGGACGACTTTCTATAATAAACTATTAACTTTTAAAATTTTATTTATTTTTAAATAAATTTATATTTTTTGAACAAAACTTAAGTTTTAATTATTTTTTCCTTAAAAATAAATTAGATTAATTTTTTTTCTGGTTTTTTTATTTTGATTGATTTGTTTCTTTTTAATTATAACTTATTAGTATTTTTTGAAATAAATTTTCAAAACTTCTATTACATATTTAAGAAATATAATATAATAAAAAAAGTTTATTAGAATGTTGTAAGAATAAAATTTAATTATAAGATTGATACGTCCCCAAAAATTGTCATGTCATGATGAGGAGCAAATCTTGATGCATATTTGGATTGGAAACTTCCAAAATTAAATATGGGATCATCCAAACTCCAATTTCAACAAACTCGTGGGAAAATTGAACATCTCAAGGAGACAAACTCAACTACACCAAAATCGATCTAATTTTGAGCCTAGATGGATCTAAATCGAGGGACTGAAACATATGTGGAAGTTTCAAAACATTAATTGGATGACTAGTTGATATCCAAATATGGTATGCTTATAGTCGAATCGAGTGGCTCGATGAGTCGAATCCAAGGAGCCAAAGATCACTTAATTTTGAAATCATTAAGGCCCATAAATGCTTGAAAAATGTTCCATGATCAAGAGAATCGATATGAGCCGTCTGATAGAGCATTCCGAACCTAACATGAATCTTCTTCATATTTACAAGGTGTGCCACTCACAAAATCTATTAATAGAGTCTAACTCTCTACATGAAGTAGATATTTTGCTACAGATTGGAGAGAGCTCTAAGGCTTCAAGGATCCTAGAGTTCTACCCAAGCACGACCGCCTTGCCACAAATCATAATCGGACCACTGAATGGTGTATATGTATCATTTTCGTTGTTTATATATTAGTGGATAGTTCTAACATTTCTATATTGTTGTCCTGCGTCTGTCTGTGTCGAGGGATGTGATTGTCTGAATTTCTAATATATACTTTTATAAATAAATAGAAAAAAAATTATGGACCAGTAAATTTATGTACAATAGAAAATTAGGAGCTCTGGTATATTTTATTCAAAAAGAACTCTGATATTTCCCTAAATAAAATATTTTGGTATGTGTGGTTCTGCTTATGTTATGCCATCATCCAACATGGTGTGGCTTGTATACGTGGGTCATATCAGGTTAGGTTATGACTGCTTGAATAGGATATAATTTGTTCCATGAATGAATCATAACTTTTTTTAGTCTTTAATGTCATTAAAGCTAACACTAATGATTTTCTTGAGATGATTTATAATGTTAGCTATTTACCCAAGTAACTTCGAACTCTTAAGAGACTTTTTTTTATAAAGAGTTCTTTAAAACTTTCTTGAGATACTTAATGAGTTATGCTTTTTAAGAGCTATTATTCTAGAAGTTGAATCATCTTTACAACAATGAAAACCATCATTATTTACCACCTTTATGGTGGTTATTCCTTATAATGCTTAAATGAATTTTTAAGATTGCACGAGCTAGCTTATGCTTAGAGTGCTAGCAAAGCCAACTATTATTAAATCCCAATAAATAATATTAATGTGATTAGCTTAAGAGATGATAATATCACCTACTTATCTTAAAAAAAATCACGCATTCCTAGAGTTAATGTTAACCTTATACATGGTAAGCATGCAACCCTAAAAATTTAAGTTTATGATCATCTCATAATGTATCTTGGAAGAGTTCTCGAGGTATATCAAGAAAGCGATAAAAAACATCCTTGGAGTTGTCCTCAAGAGGTCACCCCTTGAATTTCCTTGGGAAAGATCTTAAGAAATGTCCTTAGGAGGTTTCTAACTCTATTATTGCTTAAATGCTCTCATAAACGTCTTTCATTATTTAAGCACTTTTAGATCATTCACTTTCGAAATCATAAATTAAATTCTATAAAGATGTTGGAAATGGTAGATACATAATTTTAATCACTTGTTCTAATACTTGTTTGATTGTATCACCTAATTTATCGATGCTGCTAATTTTCTACAATGAATGTAGTGCTACCAGCCTCAATCAATGGTCAGTGTCATAGTCCACCCATGACTATTATTGGTTGAGAGGTTTGGCTAGCACCAAGAGGTCTTGGGTTTGAGCCTTACATATATGACATGTATGTGAGTTTATCTTAATTATCCTAAATGTCTAAAAAAAAAAAACTTAGAGAAGTCAATAGGCAAAGTATTACAATCATGATAAACCACAAATTAAGGAACAATGTGTGATTATACTATAGGTACTCAGTCTGGATTAGATATGGACAATAAGGATATAATTTAATCCCCTATAGAATTTTCATAACACATACTCGATAGCTCATTTATTAGTTTGTCAATCTCTTCTTTATCACTTAGTATATTTTCCCTTTATCAATCAAAATCCAGATCATATATTCTGTCTTGAATTAAGCCATTAATAGGGTGCATGCTCAGCAACGGAAACCCAATATAGCCATTGGAGTTGGTCTGTTAGATCTTTCAAAAAAAAAGTCCTTTTCATAATTGTAGGCTTAACAATCACAAATGAAGCAAGATTAGCATTAATAAAAACATTTTCATTTCTTGAGAATTTGATATTGATAGTGAGTCTAATAATAACAATAATAAGTGAACCATTTGAAATAAGAAAAGTAGCCAAAATAAATAATGTAATAAGTTAAATATTATAGCTAATTAAATTAAATGCTTAAAAATAACATAAACTTTTAAAAATTAGGTGAGTCTTTGCTCATCATTAGACTCTCCTTTGTATAGATGAAACATAAATGTAGGATTACGCTATACAAAATCAATATGTGGTGTTCAAAAATTCTATTATCTCTTATGTCTTGTTTGGGACGGCTTTCTTACTGATTTCTAGTACAAAAACCTCTTATTCAAAGAAATTTTGTACTAAAAAACTTCTTTAGAAAGTAGTAAGGAAGCCTTGGTGAATAATTTTTTTGGGTAAATACAATTAGTATAAAATGTCGTGTATAGGAAATTGAGACACTAGCTGACTTCGATTTTGTGAATCAACTATTTTAATAACTTAATAGAAAAACCTCATAGTATTATAAAAAAATCATAAAAGTCATTACATAAAATAATTTGGTCAGTCAATAAGTAATTTGCACATGTATGTGAACAATATTTTTATAACTTAATAACTTACAAGTATAAGTTTAAGGTTTTGGCTTCCATTTTATTAAAGAAGTTATTAAGCCAAAACCAATTCAATTGGTGAAGCTCTGAAAATAAAATAAATAGTAATCAATTAAGGTATGCATGTAAATATTGCCTTTTGAAAGTAATCAATTAAATATGCTCAAACAAATTGAAAGCTTACATAATCAATTAATATCAAATAAACATCTACAGTGTATGTTACATAATTTGCATTAACCATTCAACTAAATATTGTTAGGAAAATACAACTAGGTTCTTAATGCATTTTTGGTTTAAGTCTTGTTCAAGAAGCAGTTTGACTTATAGGTTTCTAGTGAGAACGCATTGGTCATATTTGGTATCATTTATACTACGTTATTCTATTTTTTTTTAAAGAAAAAAAATACAATTAAAATAATACCAGAAGAAACCCAAGCCACAAGGAGCCACAAAGCACCAACTGCACAATCCTTCAAGGCACGAACAACAAAATAAAGAAAAAACAGACAATTAAAATAAAATAAGAAGAAACCCAAGCCACAAAAGTTTAGAGACATGGCCCAAAAAACCCCAACTTATTGCAAAAGCAATTGGGAAAATTTAAAACAATGAAAATCCAAGCAAAAAAAAATTTGGGTTATATATGCCTAAAGTAAGGTAAAGCTAGTTTCTCCAATCTCACAAAACCCCTCAAAGCTTGATGATCATTTAAGTTATGATAAACTTCAATGGTGGAAATAGTAGACCCATTTTTAGTAAGCTAATTAGTAATTTCATTCTCTTCATACGATTAAGATATAATTTGATGCTCCTAAAAATATAATGCAAAGAGGCATTGTTGCACTTGCTACCTGAGATTAAATTAACTAAAAGCAGATAATCAGACTCAATTGATATATTTTTAATGTTGTGATCCTAAAAAAAAATTCAAACCCATAAGTAAAGCCTTGGCCTCAGCAATAATCACATTAGTCATAGGAATATAGGTAGAAAAAGCAAAAATGATGTCACCATGATGGTTTCTAGCAATGCCACCACAACCAGTAGAATACTAAGAAACAGAACCATCAATGTTGAATTTAACTTGATTGAAATTGGACTTAACCAAATAAAAGATATTGATAGATCTATCAATGTTCTCTAAACTAAAATAAATTTGAAAAAATGACAGCCATGAATAATTCCCTTAAAAATGCTAAAGACAAAGTAACTTAGCAACCACCAATTACTAAATTTTATGATTAAGACCAATGATAATTCTCTGAAAACTTATCTTAATTCGAAAATGCTTGTAATTGTTTCTCTCAATCCAAGTAACCAAAAATAATCATCGGCACCACAGTAGAAATATGTCCAATAGATTTTTTATGAAAGTAATGAGTAAGAATAGAATGACAATTGGAAATATAAAGGTTTAGGTTAAGTCCCAACACATTATTCAAATGATACCAAAATTTATTATCAATGAAACCATGA